TGGAGTGCGTATGAGAGTGTAGTACACACTATTGGGTGTGCACTGCGTATATACACTCACTACTAGAACATGGCTGCGGAGTACTGGCCATGCGTGTGCGCTACTGGGCACACTGACGCTGCCAGTGTATCCGCCATGACTGCCGGGTGTGTTGTGCGCATGCTGTGCGCGGACAGACACTACGGTCGGCCTTTCGCCGGCCGTCCGGAAACTTCTTCCGGCAACCCAAACATGAATAAACATAACTTGTCATGACATGATAATATATGCTAAACTTGCTGAAATAATCATGAACTTTACTTGATGAACTAACAAGGTATCGAAGCGTGCACCCCGTGTGCACATGTTCGGCGTTAAGCCAAACCCCCGAGTAAACCTTAATTTTTTTTGAACAACCTCAAGGAACTGATCATTATATACTATTTAAAGCTTATTGAGACTAGGGTTATTCGAACAATTCCGATCATAACACAAGATACACGAAAGGGCATTCAATCGGCCCGTAGGCATGAACTTCGTGTATAGTTCACTTTCTTGAACCAAATCACGAACCAAACTTCAACTTATCTTGACTAACATGAAATAAATGAACTTAAAATGATCTAACATGATCAAATAAGCATGAATTACTCGGTGTTATCCGAACAAAACCGAACATCACTCGGTTATGACCTACATGGCCAAAACCGAACCTTTTACGACGTTTTCTTGCATTTCTTGACCTGAATTGCATAAACTGAATCTGACCTGACCTTATTAACATAAAAGAATGCTAAATTGAGATTACCTTCTCATGTCCTCGGAGGATTACACATGGTGTGCGTGATTCTTGGCTCCGAATATCCGCGTGAAGTCCGTGTTGCCGTGTACGTGTATTTGCCCTAACTTTTTCTTAACTTTAGCTATAATAAAGACTTAGTGAAAATTGCTGAACTTCCTCCCCCAACTCTGATATATGGCACGCTAAATATGATGGATTTGGAAAGAATTCTCAGTCAAATGGCACGAAGCCACTTGCCGTGAGCTTAAGAGGCAAGAGTGGCACGTTGGGTGCTTACTCACCCAACTCGATGCTTAGTCATCGCTTCGAGTCACTCCAGCCTTCCATGTGTACCTGAAGTGATGAGGATGCACGAAAATGTGGGTAAAGTTTGACCTCTCGGCTATTAGCTCGGTTAAGCATGGCTTAGACGAGCTAAGGACGTACTAATGGCCATATTGAGCACACACAATACTAAGCTAAGCATGATTACCTTAAACATGATTAACCTTTAATTAATCCTCATTAATGTTAATTAATCATCATTAACATTAAGCTAATTATGATTATCTTAAGCTAATCGTGATTAATTAGCTTAAACATGATTAAGTTAATTAAGAAAGGTTTAATGACCATTACTTAATTAATGATGGACGGTGTACCAATGTGAACACACCGTTGTATAGGAAAACTGAACTTGACATAAGAAACTTTAACTGAACTAATTATCGAAAAATTCCGAACATGAACATGACATTCGAAAGTTAATTCGAACATTCTTGACTTGGACGATTAATCGGAAAATTGATATTTCGAATAATTCGTCACTCTAACTTATTAATTCCGAACTCCTTAAATAAAGAAGCGAATCGGAATTAAGTTTGGAAACTTATCTGGTTACTGAAATAATTAACCGAATAATTTATCGACTAATAGTCGAACTTGGAATATGACTGACTAAATTTCTTGAACTTGAACATAAACATGATTATTTATTAACAAAGGCTAGCTTAAAATTAAAAGCTAGTATTTTCCTTTATTAATAAAACCTGGGGTGTTACAATCCACCCTCCTTA